CCTGGCAGAGCATCACCAGGGATGAAACCCAGCGTCTAGCGATGTCTATGCGTTCCAGACTTCAGGCTGTAATTGTCTGCAAAGTATTTGCAACCATGTATTAAAAAGTGAAAGTTTGATTTATGACCATTAATCTGTCCCATTACTTTTGGTCCCTTAAAAAGTGGGAGGCACATATACAAATTGTTGTAATTCCTACATCGTTCACCTGATTTGGATGTAAATACCCTCAAATTAAAGATGAAAGTCTGCAGTTAAAGCACATCTTGTTTGTTTCATTTCAAACCCATTGTGTTGTTGCCAAAAAGATTAGAATTGTGTTGATGTCCCAATATTTATGGACCTGACTGTATATATACCCATATACAAAATTACATAAATAATTTCATAAATATATACATAGACGTCAAATATATAAATATAGAATATATTTAAATTCTATGTGCATATTTATGTAATATTTTATTGTTTGCAATTTGAGGGACCTGCCTGACGACCCAGGCCAATAGTCCAGAGAATTTTAATTTGCTAGCACTGTATTTAACCCTGTAACTTTACATGACACCCTAAAACCTGTACATGGAGGGTACTGTTTTACTCAGGAGACTTCACTGAATACAAATATTAGTGTTTCAAAACAGTAAAACGTATCACACTGATGACATTGTCAGTAAAAGTTAAATTTTTTGTATTTTTCACACACTGTTGTGATACGTTTTACTGTTTTGAAACACTAATTCTCCCGAATATAACAGCACCCCCCACGCACAGGTTTTATCGTGTTTTTGAAAGTTACTGGGTCAAATATAAGGCTCTTTTTTTACATTTAAATTTGCCAGGTTGGTTATGTTGCCTTTGAGAGTGTATGGTAGCCCAGGAATGAGAATTACCCCCATGATGGCATACCATTTGCAAAAGAAGACAACCCAAGGTATTGCAAATGGGGTATGTCCAGTCTTTTTTAGTTGCCACTTAGTCACAAACACTGGCCAAAGCTAGCGTTCATAATTGTTTCTTGCATTTTTAACACACAAACACATATAAATGCTAACTTTGGCCAGTGTTTGTGACTAAGTGGCTACTAAAAGACTGGACATACCCCATATTGAATACCCTGGGTTGTCTACTTTAAAAAAAAATGTACACGTGGGGTGTGATTCAGAGATTTATGACAGATAACAGTGTTACAATGTCACTATTGATAAATTTGAAAAATATAAATTTTGAACATGCAATTTCCTTCTTGTACTTATAGCCCTATAACTTGTAAACATTGGGGTTTTTTAAACTCAGGACAAACTTTTGAGTTTTGAGTCTTTTGAGTCTATTTAGCAGTTTTTTTTATTAGCTTTGCTAGATAAGTAAAATAATTTTCAAGTAAAAAAAAATTTTTTTTTTACATTTTTCACCATATATTTTTTTTTTTTAAATTAAATTAAATTAAATTATATGACATGACACAAATAATGGTATGTAAAGAAAGCCCTTCTTGTCCTGAAAAAAAATAATATATAATTTGTGTGGGAACAATAAATGACAGAAAAGAAAATTACAGCTAAACACAAACACCACAAAAGTGTTAAAACAGCTCTGGTCTGTTAAAATTACATCACTGCTTCTTCTGATTGGAACAGAACAAAAAAGGTTGTAGATCCCAATAGGATAAACAATCAGCCTAATTTAGTTCTTTATTTTTTTTTTATTTTTTTTTTATGATATTGTTCTTTTTTCTTATGCAGTGATCCAGGGTGACCATGGTTTTACATTTTACAAGTATTGTGTTAGCATTGATTTAATTAAATATCACTAACTCTCCTAGCACAATACAATAAATATAGCTATAGTCATCATGAGAATCATATCAACACAGTTCTGTAACAGGTTTCAAATGTATATTGGTCAGCATTCATTGATTTGATCAGTTCCACACCATTCACATGTATAGCATTACTTATATAAGAGAAGCATGAAAACTGTTAGGTAATCAAGATAGCTGTTTACAGGAGAGAGTTGGCAAACAAATGCGAATGGTCTTCCGCACACTATGCAAATGATACATGGGGTTGACAGTTGTAAGCTAGGAGTGACATATCTGACCTGCACAACATGATTGAGTATACTCAGAATCTATCTGCCTATGCCTAAGTGATCAACACACATTGTTCCGCTGACATCTACATTTAATTTAACCCTGCAGCCTCCACGTAATACATGCTCATCATATTCTGGAAGCCTGTTTAGCCCAGATACTAAATTTTTTCAGGAATTATGGCAGTGCAATAGTCCAGTCCTGGAGTATTATGAGTATTACTATACAATGCATTGCCTTGCTCCAATACTCAGCTAACAAAAATACTATTACATCTCCTGTTGCTTAACCTGCAGAAAAAGTGTTCTCAGGCTGCAGTCCACAATCGCTGTATGCTCCCCATCCCTTCTGAGCTTTCCCATTGTTGTCTAACAGAGAACAAGCGAAATTCCATGAATCTGCTCTACCAGTATTATGCAAGTATCTTTGAGGTAATGATATTTTATTAATACTGAAAAAAATATATCTTATGTATCTCTCTGATACTTGTTAATATTTGATTCATATGCTAGGACTAAACTATATCATGGGGCAGTAATAGTGACTAGTGGGTCACTCAAATCAGAATTTCCATAACGTGACTGAGTCAGCAGTTCGTTTTCTAATGCACATCTGCTTGCTATTTTATATAAATGATATTCAGCAATAGATTTAAAAGAACGAGTGTAGTATAATGTATCACTTATAAAAAACATGTCATTTTCTCTTTAAGGTTAATCATAAATGGCTATGTGATATCAAGGCCAAGATGTTTGGTTCTACCAGATGAAATGCTCTCATAATCTAAAATAATAGACTGCTGTATTAATTTTGATGTTGCTCTGGTTTCTTGCCTCCCAGTTTCCAGCTAACAGGATGATTACAGGCTCTGTAATGATCAAGTGATGCACTTATAATCAGAACATTCATGACAGCTTAGTATACAATGGATTTTGTACTGTATTTAATTCATATTTTTTACCTGGTTAGTGAAAAAAGTGACATGTCTGCTGTTTATTTTTATCTACATTTACTTTAATTAGCTGAGGAGTTCATGATAATGTTTTTCATAACAAAATGTCAAATTAATATCATTGGGCACTCCATAAAATACACATCACCTACTTGTTAGCATCACTATTTTCTTACAGAAAATTCTTTATTACATGTTGCAAGAAAAAACAATTGTGGCATTTTTGTCACGTCTTAGTCAATAGTATACAATAAGAACCTCTTATTTTTCAGACAGACTTTTATTCTATTAAATGTACAGGATCGCCACAACCACTTTGTATCCTTACAATGTGCAGGGGCTAGGAGCACCCTCTCTCATGCATAAGAGTGGACTATAGAGGCAGCAATTTATAGAAAGAAGCTTCTTATTTTTTATTTCATTTTGTTCCAATATTTTTGTGCAATATCTGTTGGTAATGGTCTCGAGTGTCTTGAATAAGTATGTTTTAGGACTTGTTCTTGCTGGTAACATTTATGACACAATATATATGACAAAACCCAGATATCCACCAGAAATGTTAACATCTTTCCCCCATAGTCGATTTTGCTAGAGATGAAGTGCTATGCATCCAGTTTAACAAATGTGGAAGAGATACCGGAGCGTGGCTCGGTGGAGGCAGTGAGGGTCATGGACTTTTGTGGCTCAGATCTGGGGTGGCCTCATGGGCCTTCCACTGCCCCATTTTGAGGCTGTTGGAAAAGTAATGCAGTGTGAATCCAGGGAGATAATTGGTTTAGGAGGGTGCTTGGGCAGTGGGCTTTAAACCTTGATTTTCAAGAGGTGGTAGCTATTTTACCATACAAAGTATACTACTTATATTATATAATGTCACATTAGTACTGAACTTTTGCTCTTTAAATGTTAAAGGTTTAAATTCCCCACACATGTGTCGACTAGCTTTGCAAGAAGCCAGGTGTGCCAAAGCCCATGTAACATTCTTCCAAGAAACTCACTTTAAGTGGGGTAAGTGACTTCCTCCAGGGTTCACTTCCACCAGAAATGTTACTAGCACACATCATAGCCTAAACCAGGTATAAAAACAACCATATGTTTAACTTTCACTATTAAATAATGATACAAACCTATGTGCCAAACTAGCGACAACCAGACTAATCTTCCTATTCCCTTCACTCATTCTTTATCAAAGGCTGTCAAAGTACAGACAACTCCAGACACCTACTCAATGGGATTAGTCACCTTAATGACACCAGCAACAAAGGCCTTCTGTTTGCATTAGATGCAGAAAAGGCCATTGACAGGCGTAATTGAGACTGTATGAGGACAGTTCTAAAGAGATTAAAATTTCCTGTGGCATTTATAAACACAATGGCACTATATACCAAAGAAATGTTTTATATTTCACCTAAAATCTGGCAATAACATTTTTATGTGAAGAGCCCCAGTGAACCTACCTTTCTTTCTACACAACTACCTACCTGGTGATTGGGCAGATATCATTTTGGAACCACATGAGTGCATTCCTTGATTTCTTTCATCTTCATTAAGAATACGGAATCACACTATGAAGTCCCCTCAATTAATATAGCAACATCTTAAAATGCAAGCCATAGATCAGAAGAGTGATTAGGATTATCCTCAACAATTCAACTGTGTTTTACACTAGAGGCAGGTGGATACAACTGGCTCTATCTTTGTAAGTGTGTCCAAATATTGGTGCCTCTGTTGTGTTTCCCATTTTTTTTTTTATTATTTTTTTTTTTTTTTAGAGAAGCTTTCCCACCCAGCAAATAGGGAAGTATATTATTGTATATAGCTCCACCTATTTTTTTGGTTTATTGTGTATATTATTGTGGTGTGGGCTAAGGGGATTTGAGTTTGTTTGATCACTATGTTATGGACAGATGAATTAAAATAAAATGGCTATTTACTAATGTCTATTTATTTTCTGTTCACTATGTTAAAACTGGCTTCTAGAGTAAATATTCCCTTCCCCCCTACAATGTGGTCAGCTGCTGTTTACTATGTAAATTCCTCACATCCTGCTAGCCTCCCCCCCCCCTTCAAATCAATAAAACCTTGTGTAACCAAAGTTCCTGTGATAACTCCCTTTACTAACTCCTCCCCCACTACCTTTGTGCCAGTTAACAGCTATATGCCACGTATAGCTAAATGGAGGATCAGTGGAAACTACTCACTCCCCCTCCCATCGTGTATCCAGAAGTCTGTAATGATGACACTACATCCTGTAGGGGGGTTTAAACAAGAGGCCCCTTTCTCTGTTAACCAATTGGTGAATGTATACTGTATGTTTAAACTGTGACGTATTTTTGCTTTAAGAAGGAGCCCCCACTCCGGGGAATAAAGCATTCCTGGGTTTTTCACTGATCAGAAACTTTGTCTCCGGTGTGAATTACTTCTAGGGAAAGCGTGCACGCATTAACTAATCAATTTGGAAGGTGTAGATAGACAAATAATCAAAGTTTTCTTTGATCCAAAACAATTTGGTGGAGAATGCGGGCATGTGAGGGTTGTTGTTATTCTGCTCGAAGCCGTAAAATCCCAGGACCGGAGAGGAGACCCCCAGAGATTGGAAAAAAAAAAGAGCCTGATCACCTCTGCATATGGTAAATGAGTAACTTACCTATATTTTCCATTCTTTGAAATTGGTCTGCACTCTGGGCCTTCACTCGGCTTCCTGTGGTTAACGTCAGACAGGTATATAGTATGCCCACATGTCCCCTTTTATATAGAACCTGTCACTTGTCTATCTACAACCTAAGTGCTGAGTGTGAGTTTTATGTGTGAAAGTGGCTGCTTGAGAATCTGTTTTACTACTTGCTTAATACTGTTATATAATGCTGCCAAGTGTGGTTAAGCGCTGGCATATTTAGCCAAGTTCGGGTTTGGTGGAAAACCCTGGCTCTATATTTATTTTAGCTAAGCTTCGGTAAAGAAGTTATTGCGAGACTCGGTCAAGAGTTTAAAAATAAATAAATAAAATAATAAAAAAAATAAAAAAATTAAAAAAAAATTATTTTAGCTAAGCTTTGGTAAAGAAGCTAGTGAGTGATGTTTTGGCCTCGTTTGGTAAAAAACCTGGCGGTTCCTTTGTTTTATTAAGACTCGGTCAAGAGTTTAAATAGCTAAGCTTCGGTAAAGGAGAGGTTTATGTGCTTGAGTGTTTCTGTGTGTGTGATTTGATTTATTATAAGCCGGCATTTATTTTAAGAACTTTGTGATTTAATTACATCTGTATTTTGTGCTTTTGTCTGTGTATGTCTTGTTGGGTACCATATATGTTAATTGTAATCTATACAATCTGTATCGTTACTCTCCTATTCTATCTTTTGTCCTAAGGAGAGCTGTGCTTAGGCAATCACATGGTTAAAAAACTTTGTGCTTGCAAGTCTTCCTCCCTCCTCCCCCCTCCTTCTTTGTTGCTTTCTCTTGCTCTGACTGCTATGAGTATTGGCTACAGGGGGGTGGGGTGAATGGGTGAAATGCTTGTAAACTCAGTGAGGAATGTGAGGGAAACAAGGTATATTTGCTGGACGAATAACCTAGTTAGGAACTTTGTGTAATCTTGTATATGTTGTTAAGTAAGAGGTTATTGGCATGTTGGAATAAGGAAAGTTAGATTTTGTTGGAACAAATGAATTGTGGAATTTATAAATGATATCGCAGAGAAAAGTAAATTGCAGTTTGCATGTAATAGCAGCTATTCAGATGCTGTGTTGTGGCAATCTTTATACACACAATGTGAAATTGCCAATAGTGAAATTGCCAAGAAATTGTTTGTTAATAAGAAAAAACAAAAGATCAGAAATGTTATGAAACTAGTCTGTACTTACAATGCATTGATTTGTAAATGAGATGCAGGTCAAGACAATTTAGAATTAGCAGAAAAAGAAGTAGATTTGAATGGGTTAACAGAAGACAAATCAGATTTAAATGAACAGTGTAACAAAGTAACAGAGAGAACATTGTCAGAAAAAGTCTGTGAATTAGAGGATAGAGTTGAACTAAGAAATGATCTTATTTGCCAGTTTACAAATGAAGTTAAGCAAGTGTGTGTTAATACAAGAAAAATAAAGGCACAGAATCTAATCCCAGAACCAATAGATACTGAAAACGTATCCTCACAGAGTGATTTGCAGAAATGTAAATTTCAAGACAGAACTGCAAAACTTAATTTGAATATACATGAACAATTAATGAAAATTGTGAAATGTATTCCAGTTTATGACACGTCAGTGGATGCATTTACTAATGCTGAAATGTTTGAGCCAAATTTAGACAAATACAGCCTAAATGACGAACAAAGGAATAGACTATTTCAAATATGGCTGCCAACATACATTGCACGTAGACTGACTCCACCCATTAGTACCCCTAATGACGAAGATGATGAAATAATATATGGAAATAAGCAAGACAGATTAACACAATTAATAAAATTAACAACAGGGAATGATTTTGCAGACACTGAAATGTTGGAAAAACTAAAACCACACAAGGGGGAGGATATATTTAGTTTTCTTGTAAAATTTGAAAGTGCATATAGACTTGTTGCTAATTTTCCTGAGAATCAGTTAATTAATGAATTTGTGAAAAAATTTCAAGATCTAGATCCAACTGCAATTGTAATTGCTAGAGAAAAAAGGACTTTGAATGAAGTTGCTATGTTCTTGGATAACTTAAGGAGGGAAACCAATAATGAAGTGGTTAAAACGACTTGTGGATTTAGGCAGAGGAAGAAGTGCAGATTTTACAGCCCTCCTCCTTCTTCTTCTTCTTCTTCTAGGACAGAGTGTAGAGTGATACAGACAGCTGAGCCCCTCCCAATTTATTCAACTAAAAACTGTAGAGTTGATAATATAGGGCAGAATATAACTCCAAAGTTATTTGTTTTTGGTGCAATAAACAACATTATTTAAGATCTTGCAGATATTTTATCCGAGATATCAAATCAACAGCAAATGAGAAATTAAATTTGTTGATTGAAAATTTTGACAGAGAAAATACATGTGGAGATAAATCAATTAAAGCCTTTCCTTGTAAACTTATAATCAGACAAATAAAAGCAATTTTAGCTAAATCGAAATTAGGAGACAGACAAGCAATGCAGTGTAACACAGAAAGTTATAAGAATCAGATAACTTCAAGAGATATGATCAGTTTAGGGAATGAGCATGGATATGTGTGCCAACAGATGTACACAGGCTGATTCCAGAATTAAGAACAGCACAAGAATAGAGATCTATGTTAGTTTGTTGTTTTAATGAATTGTTAGTCTGAACTGTTTTTTCATTGTTTTATGTGTGTTATAAGAAAGTATTAGGTTAATTAATTAAAATAGAAATTTACATCAAGTTTGCAAATATGGCAGAATGAAATACACTAATGTAGCAGTTAGGAACATGCAATGTTATATTGAGTGTATGCAATTATACAGTAACTCCAATCATTTTACAGAAGGTAAAAACAATGTTGTTACTTCTGAGGTTGATTTAAAATCTTTGATTTAATTCATGAGAATGAGATTTTAATATCATGACTGATAATGGATTACTGTATATTACTGTATATTGCAACGCCTGGACATACACATGGTTTGGATATACTGAAGACAAAAGGAATAATATATGGGAATGGATAAGGCTGATTTCCCCCTATCCACAGCCACGCCTACTCCTAAAGTAACATTGCGTACATCCTTACTATGCCCTTTTACTGTAGAATTTCCCGAATCCTAATGACCAATTCCACTACATGGTGTGACTTGTTTAAGCCTAAGATAAATTGGCTGATCAGGCTACCTGTATTAACAATGTCATCAACGATGAGTTAGCATCTGTGGAGAAGTATCACTTCAGGTTGTCCCAAATTTTCTTTTAACTTAAGTTTTAGTACATAGTAAGGCCCATGCCCAATAACTATATGCAGCCTTGTATAGCAGGCCACATGACATCTATTTGTACCAAGCAAGGCCTGCCTGACTCCTCATTCCTGTCTAACATTGTTGTCTCCTGCATAAGTGTAGATGGCTCTCCTTGGAGTAGCCTGTTAACTAAGCCTTGCTTTGTGGTTACCTTCACCTGTCCAATTAATCTGCTAGGTGCAGATGTCCTTCCCCCACTTGCAGGCCCCTATCACCTTATTATTTATTTTGTTCCACACAGTGAAACCTGACCAAGAGGCAAGGGTCCTAGCTAGTTCCCCCAATACCTTTACCTGAATTATACAGGCCCCAAAGCCTGTCCAAGCTCTTACTATTCCCTAACAGGTTAAGGCTCTGGTGTCGAATGTTGCCCTGGTTACCTGAGACTTTCAATGCAATATCCCACCTCTCCTTGTGATGGACGAATTCTGTGCAGGATAATGTCACCCTGCAGGGATGATACTCTATTTACCTGGCCACTCTTCTGCCACTTCCCAAGGGGGGAAATGATAAGACACTGACTATTATTTTTCTTATGTTCTGTTCCGGATTTGCTGTCACTACAGTGGACCAAGTATCTCACCTCAACAATGTCTGCACAAGAAGCTGAGCTATAGACTCCCATCACACCATGCAAGATCTCTGAAGGAAGACTGAACTCAGAGGAAGCATGTGGCAGCTCTCTGGCTGACTAAGTTGTTCAAAAAGTTGTAAGTGCACTAAGGGAAGTGGACAGAAAAGTGTCTGCTGAAGAAACTCCCATATTCACCATGTAAGATCCTACCCACAGACATCAAGCTCCCGAAGGAATAACAAGCAAGCTACTGACCCTGGAAAGAAAGAAAAAAACAAACAAACCACAAGCTGGAAACAGAAAGGGGCAACTCTTAAAGACAGGCTGTACTTCAACAATCTCAAGTTATACTTGCCCAAGAACATATACTCAGCAGTGGTCCAGTGGGCCTACGGAGCATCTGTCCAGAACCCTCATGAACTCTTTTGATCAATAAATACTCTAAAGTACCAGGAATTGCCTCTCTGACCAACAGTTACTGTAAATCTTGTGCCATTTGTGCCAAGGGCAACTCAAGAAGAATGGATGAAAGCCCCAAGCATCTAGCCAAACCTCATTATCTCTTCCAGAGGAGTCAAGTCGCCAGAATGCCAAAGAATGGCTGATTCAAATATGCACTAATTATAGCAGACATGTTTTCAGGATGGCCAGAGGCCTATCCAGCCACCAAAGTGATAACCAAGACCACATGCTGAGTAGTGCACCGTGAAAGATACAGAGATCACCCCGTGGGTTCATCATTCCAGAATCAAGCCTGCCTCTGCATCATGTGAAGTAACATTTGTTGATCTTGACAACCCTTTTTGAAACTCCATTCTTAGAGAACAAAGATACTTGTTGAAAATAAATAAATAAATATCAACAAGTGGGTGTTTTGATGGCCATAATAATGCCTGACCACCTGCCATCGATGGAAAGCTGAATACCCCAAAAGGGGACCTCGTGAAACTAAAGAGAAACAAACATACTCCTTACCCTGCAGCCCTCACGTCTGAGGTGCCATACGCACAGTCAAAGCTTCTTCAAGATCATCTGCTTATCTTGAGTTTGTGGTGATATTAATATTGAATGTTTAAATGATCTGAATCTGCCAGTACTAGGGTAGCATGAGACAAGATTTCTAAGAATAAGTAAATGTGCCCTAGCCTAGGTTATTATGTCCATACACATAACACATGACAATCCCCAAGGTACTCTTGACACACCTCATTCATGCTTCAGGACAAAAAGGAGTACCCCTATAAAGGGTGGTTTTACCCACACATATATATATATGTATATTAATGCCATAGGGGTGTCAAGGGGGGTACCAAATAATTTTAAGGTAAGAAACTAAGTTTGAATCTATTCTCCCAAGCATTACGGCTAATAAAATCTGAATTGGAAGGGAAGAGGTTTATACAATAAACAGGAGACCTTTTTCTTACAGGACATGTATGACTCAGCTGAATGGGTAGGTGCCACGCACATGACTGTTAATCCCCTCAAACCACACATTAGGACTTTAAAAGACATGGTAGTCATCCCATATTTGAGGATAAGAGGGCTGTAGAGACAGGTTTCTCTGACACTAACTTGTGACTTGAATGGATGAAATACAATGCTACTAAACATAACAAGTCTAACTGCTATGTCTGCAGAGGAGCGAGGCCTCACCCAGGTACAGTATCCCTGAACCTTCCTCCGGATATGAAGTATGCGTTTTAAGTCTCTACACTGTATTTAAACCTAAGCGGTCAGCATGCGAGTCATGGAAACTTAATACCCAATCATTACTAAAAATATTAACCCAGACGAAGGCATTACTATATAGCCCGGGAACTATACTTGTTATGGGATATATGGTGGGATAGGGCGGTTACAAACTATCTCTCAGATGACCTTCCAGAATAGAATAAGCTTGGAAATGATTTTGGCAGAAAAAGGGAGAGTATGTAAAATACTCCCAGACACCATGACATGCTGTACCTATATTCCAGATAATACAGGCCCTAATGGTAAGGTAACGTTGGCAATAGAAAAGTTAAAGAGTTTGTCCAATGAACTGAAACGAAATTCTGGGGCCACAGATCCATGGGAAAGATGGTTTGGATGGATGTCTGAATGGCAAGGTGCTCTGGCCCAAATAGGTGTTGCCATTTTAATAACGATAATCATCCTCGCTCTTCTTGTTTGTTGTGTGTTACCCTGTCTTAAGAAATGCCTACAAAAGACAGTTGATCAGACAATCGACCAGACCACCCCGACCTTCCTTCACCAAGAGATTGACGACATCGACCTTGATACACCACATACACCCTTACAGTCCCACCGCACTAAATCAACAGCTACTTCCTCTTAAGGACATTTAGGGATAGCGTCTGTCTCTACGGGCAGAAGTCTGCCGCGGGAGAAGTAGTGGACAAGCTGCTATGGGGTACCCGCGCAGTGAAGTGTTCGAGGCCTGTTCAGACAGATGTGCAAGATAGCCTTTTGTTATTTTTCTATAGGGACAGTATTAGAATGAGAGATAGTAGTTTTAGTAAAAATTGCCATTTTAAGGGGGGACTGTTATGGACAGATGAATTAAAATAAAATGGCTATTTACTAATGTCTATTTATTTTCTGTTCACTATGTTAAAACTGGCTTCTAGAGTAAATATTCCCTTCCCCCCTACAATGTGGTCAGCTGCTGTTTACTATGTAAATTCCTCACATCCTGCTAGCCTCCCCCCCATTTCAAATCAATAAAACCTTGTGTAACCAAAGTTCCTGTGATAACTCCCTTTACAAACTCCTCCCCCACTACCTTTGTGCCAGTTAACAGCTATATGCCACGTATAGCTAAATGGAGGATCAGTGGAAACTACTCACTCCCCCTCCCATCGTGTATCCAGAAGTCTGTAATGATGACACTACATCCTGTAGGGGGGTTTAAACAAGAGGCCCCTTTCTCTGTTAACCAATTGGTGAATGTATACTGTATGTTTAAACTGTGACGTATTTTTGCTTTAAGAAGGAGCCCCCACTCCGGGGAATAAAGCATTCCTGGGTTTTTCACTGATCAGAAACTTTGTCTCCGGTGTGAATTACTTCTAGGGAAAGCGTGCACGCATTAATTAATCAATTTGGAAGGTGTAGATAGACAAATAATCAAAGTTTTCTTTGATCCAAAACAACTATAGCACTGTATATTTTAAAATTTTGTAACACTATGCAAGTGTTTCCAATGCAGAATCCATATACCCACCTCTCTGATTACAGATAGAACCAATCAGGGATATCCTCTTTCCCCCTATTGTTTAATCTTTTCTTGGAACCTATGACAAAACCCAGATATCCAAGGCATAACCATCAACAACCAAACTCTTAAGCTGTCACTGTTTACAGATGATGTGCTCTTGACAATCACCCAGCCCATCATCTCATTGCAGAGTTTGATGTCAGTGTTGCTCTATGAGAATCAGTATTGACACACCTATGTGGGTGTGACTGAGCGTCACTCAACTCAACACATGCTCACAATACCAAGCCTCCTCAGAGTCCTCAGCATTCAGAAACTAGAGCATTCATACCACAACACATACACACAAAAGCATTTCTTCACCACGTTAGGTATCATAAAGTGTTTATTGTAAATAGATATATAGAGACAGGCAAACTCATAAATACCATAAATAATTGTTTTCTCTCTCTCTCTCTCTCTCTCTCTCTCTCTCTCTCTCTCTCCCTCCCTATCTGTATATCTATCTACAATGGGTAGTGAGACTTGCTAGCAGCAACTGGCACGGGAGGTGTTAACAGTGGGTAGTGAGGTTGGCTGACAGAGACTAGCTGGGAAGGGGTTAACACTGGTTAGAGAGGTTGGCTGGCAGGGACTGTCAGGAGACAGGTTAACACTGGACAGAATGGTTGGCAGACAGGGACTGGCAGGGGATGGGTTAACAGTGGGAAGGGAGGTTGGCTGACAGGGAAGGGGTTAACAGTGGGTAGGGAGGTTGGCTGACAGGGAGTGGAGGAGAATTTAATACTTGCATTACAGGGAGGTAGGAGAGGAGCACATATGGGCTCTAACTGCAGTGCAGTCTCTGCTATGAGCACTTGTCACACTAGATAAGACATGCCTCTATTTTCATTGGCTGCAAAATGTACATTTCTTTCAGAGAATGGCATTTAGGGACATTTAGAAATTTGAGAGGGAGTGGCTAAGGAGGCTGGGTTACACTGCTGAAAACAGCAAAACATTTTGAAACACTGCAGGAAAATTACACAGATTTGAAAGAAAAGAAACTAACAGCAGATATGTGAGCTTATTAGCTTTAATTTAAGCTTAACTTGTTTAGCTGCCTTGACTGTCCAATTAACATCACGCATAGCTTTGACAGCAAAAGCTCTCATTGCATTAAGTTGGAAAAAAACTACCTGCCGCCTTAACTATGCTTCTGAAATGACATCTGCACTTTCCCCAAAGCAAAATGCCAAACACTCTAGAATATGGAGGCCTTGGTGTCAAGTAATTCCACAGACCCCTTTATTCTAGAGTGTTCTATACATCTGATAGATATACTTTCTGAATTCTATTATAGTATGGGATCAGATGGTATATTTATTGGAAAATCAGTATGAAATTGGAAAAATACATTGTATGGTTTATTTTGTCTACTCTGTGTTGTTTTATACTTGTTTTCTCAAGCATTTGGATAAATTCATTATTATACATGATATGCAGAATTGGAAGAGCTTTAAAATCCTCTGTGAAGGATTACCAATTACTGCTATATATAGCCTAGCAACACACCACTAGTAGTATATTACCTTTTGTGTATTTTCAATCATATTGTTCATTATATACAATGTTTTTTTTTTTTAATGTCTTATATGATAATAAACTTCAATAAAAAAATATATATCTTTTTTATACTGGATATATATTTTCCTATACAAACCATCTAAAGTCCTGTATTAAATTAAGATAGGTAGCCTGGGGTGTTGTGTTCATGGGACTTACTTAAAGGACCACTAAAGTGCCCTGAGGGTGCCTCCACCCTCAGGGTCCCACTCCCGTGGCGCTGAAGGGGGATGAAGGGGTGAATCCCTTACCTTTTTTCCAGCGCCAGGCTCCCTCAGTGCTGGGACTCTCCTCCCTCTTCTTCCATCATCGGCTGAATGATCATGCGCGGCAAGAGCTGCGCGCGCATTCAGCCAGTCTCATTGGAAAGCATTCTCAATGCTTTCCTATGGACGCTGGTGTCTTTTAACTGTGAAATTCACAGTGAGAAGCATGGAAGCGCCTCTAGCGGCGGTCAATGAGACTGCCACTAAAGTCTGGATGAACCCATAGGTAAACATAGCAGTTTCTGTGAAACTGCTATGTTTACTGTAAAAAGGGTTAAAAAAATATATATCTTTTTTATACTGGATATATATTTTCCTATACAAACCATCTAAAGTCCTGTATTAAATTAAGATAGGTAGCCTGGGGTGTTGTGTTCATGGGACTTACTTAAAGGACCACTAAAGTGCCCCGAGGGTGCCTCCACCCTCAGGGTCCCACTCCCGTGGCGCTGAAGGGGGATGAAGGGGTGAATCCCTTACCTTTTTTCCAGCGCCAGGCTCCCTCAGTGCTGGGACTCTCCTCCCTCTTCTTCCATCATCGGCTGAATGATCATGCGCGGCAAGAGCTGCGCGCGCATTCAGCCAGTCTCATAGGAAAGCATTCTCAATGCTTTCCTATGGACGCTGGTGTCTTTTAACTGTGAAATTCACAGTGAGAAGCATGGAAGCGCCTCTAGCGGCGGTCAATGAGACTGCCACTAAAGTCTGGATGAACCCATAGGTAAACATAGCAGTTTCTGTGAAACTGCTATGTTTACTGCAAAAAGGGTTAAACCTAGCTGGACCTGGCACCCAGACCACTTCATTAAGCTGAAGTGGTCTGGGTGCATATAGTGGTCCTTTAAGATGATACATACTTAGATATAAAACGCTTAAAATTGATTGTCAGCAACAAATTTTATGTATAGTGAGGTCTTCAAATAAGGCTCCATTGGTATTACAGCAACTCTGTCACTTTTTTTTTTTTATTGAAACTCTTAATATATTATAATATAATTGTCAAAGACTACTTTGCTTCATGTAAGTAATTAGGGATGTATTATTGAATAGTAGAATTTTGTGACAAGTTGTTAATTCTGAGATTTATAACATTTTGAAAAATGAAAAAAAAAAAAAAGTGTACCATGATAGATCTCACATGAATGGAAACTTTCGAATGACACTCTTTCCTGTTCAAGTATAAGGTCTAGCTTTACTTAGATAGTGACTTCAAACTAATTTTGTCTTACAAAGATAAGAATATAACTGCTATTTTTAAAGAGAAATTTCAGATAAATGCAAGGTGAAGAACAGGGTACTTGAAACTTGTTGAAAATTCTAGTGCCCTGCTTCACATTGTTATAATTGCAGTGCAGCACACTGAACTATGAGCAAGGAGAGTCAGCTGGGTTTATAATGATATATTTGCTATCACACCTGCATAGTTA